TTTGTCGTTAGACGCCATCGTAGATATTTTATATAATACGCTTAAGCGCGATAACAATATAACAATATTATTACTGGTAATGTATAGAACACAATACGCGGGTAGATGCTTCAAGGTAGTAGTAGGTAGTAGGTAGTCAGTAGTGATCGATATAGGTACCTACGTCAAAACAATCTTCGAGTAACAAAAATAATTTATACTAGTCAAACCTATCGCCAAGGCCGTAACTGGTGGGGGGTCCAGGGGTCCGGTTGAAGAAACCGAGTGAATATCCAATTTTATAACAATTTTAACTTCAAATGCTCATAAAAATTTAATTTGACTTTCAGGTAGACATTCTTTTTGTTGCTAAAAGTAGAAAAAACTTATAAGGAACGTTTTATTACATTTTAAAATCTTAGTTTTAAAAAGAATATTTTTTATGAATATCTAACTCAAAATAATTTGCATATTTTTGTGATAATATTTTTTCTAAATAGTTATTTGATTAAAATCAGTTGATTTGCAGAACCGATTAAAACCCATGGGGATTTAATTTTATTAATTAAAACCGTATTTACAATATAATAATAATATTATTTTAAATACATATTATAGTCATATACACTACACATTTAATAGGATAAAGAAATATTTTTTTTTCAAAAAAAGTGGGTAGGTCCGGGTCTACCAGGCCTACCTACTGGCTACGCCACTGTGTGACTGATATAGCACGTCTGTGTATCATCCCTCGTAATTCGTACCACTCGTTTGGGCTCTCTGACATCTATCGAGTTAGACTCGATTTAGAGGATCTGCAGGGATAGTCGGCTTCGAATACTAATACAAATGAGGAGGAAAGAACAATATTCCTTGGCAAGGAAATTGAAAATGGATCAACGTTAGTGATAACCCATACGTGCACTTGTCACTTTACACTTATGCAGTTATACTACATTTATATAGGCACCTAGCTTCATGTTAATAGACGTATAAGAAAATATAAAATGATATTAGCTTATTTAAATTTCTCGTCTCTGGGACGGTTTCGAATGATTTTAATTTATTATTAATTATTATAATGAACCTTTAACATTTTAACGTTTATAGTTTTATACATAGGTAATAATAGTATATCAAGAAGACAGTACAAAAGTATAGGTATATATAAGATAAATTATAAATATTTTGAACTCCCCTAAAAGCATAGCTTGTGATGGGGAGTTTTAATTGAGTTCAATTATTGACAATTAACATTGGTACATATTTCTAAAACAAAATGTTCATAATTACATCATATGTTATTTATAGATAATCATAAGTCTATTTGTGAAAGGTCAACATTTTTTAAGTACAATTTCAAATCTTTTACATTTTTAAAATTACATATATTTATTTTAAATATTCTACATAATCTGATTGCAATTGAAATAGCACTTATTATTTAATCGATGGCAAAAGTTATTATTCTGTAATCGCCGTCTTCCGCCGTCGGTACAACGCCGTACACCCCTACTCTCCTCCCGTCATACCTTATCGGTGGTTTTGCGTGTGTAGATGTACTGGGCATTTTACGCACTGTAGTTTTCGAGCGTTGCAATAACTGACGGACCTGTGTATTGTTGCGCGGGATCGTTACCGTGTTTACCGCCGACAACGTTTTGTTTTTGTACCATCGTTTTGTACCGTTACCAGCTTACCACCGTCGATTACACCTACTACCGTTGATTGTAGTTACCACGTCAGTGTTGCAGCGACCACCCACCACACCGTACCACAACACCACCTGACCACGGATTGCCTGGTTTTTTTTATGTTTATTATTATTTATCGTTTTATTGTTAATTATTATATGCAATATGGCATTATTTGTTTTTTCCTGTTAAAACACATAGAATTATTTTACCCCTCAGCTGGCCAAAATTATAAACCGATATTATTCAAATAGTAGGCCGTTAATACGGCAATGTGACGTAAAAACAACCGTGTTCCTTGATTTACCAGTCTTTTCAGTTTAATTAATTTTAAGATTCCTTACACAGTTCATTATATTCCGAAACATAATATCTATAGCAAAAATAATAAAATCAATTTAAAATATGGACAGTTAAAAATTAATTCCCATTATTTTTATATTTCAAAAACGTCATTATATAAACATTTCTAAATAAAAAAATTATTATGAAAAAAAAAAAATTGAAAAAAAAATGTGCATGTTGAGTTTGAAGAGTAGACCTTTATGTCATATTCTGTCGAATGCCTGTGATAGGTACATCAAGGAACGCAGCTGTGCAAATGAGCTTTTTTTCAAAAGTATCCGACATTTTATCCACTAATGACTAGTCGATGGACTTGGTGTATTGTAGTGGTTTTGACGAGATCCAAATTAGATATTTAATTTTAGAATAGAAGATGCAGCTGATACTATGCCATCAAAAGAAACAAGCCCAATTACACGGACGACAATTCTCACCCAAGACACTTCCTTAGAGTTAGCAATTCAAAATCTACAATCCTCATTAAATGAAATAATCACCTGGTTCAAAAAATGGAAGTTGAATCTAAACCCAAGTAAAAGTGAGGTTAAAATATTCACCCTTAAAAGATATAACAACCCCGAAAACATTCACATAAACAACCAGGTCATTCAATGGAATAACAAAGACGACGCAGTCAAATACCTAGGTGTCCACCTAGATGAAAAACTTTCTTGGAACATCCACATAAACAAAAAACTCGTACAGGGCTACACAAGGATGAGAATTCTTTACCCTCTAGTCATAACTATAGATCAACGTTACAGATCAAGTCATCACTCCTCCTATATACGATATATCAATAATCAGACCACTTCTAACGTATGCCTGCCCTATTTGGGCGGCAGCCTCGGCCACTAAAATTAAAAAGCTGAAAGACTCGGACGGAGCCCGCCATTACCAACTAAGAAAGAAAACCCAAAATAGGCAACTGCGACCTCGACTGCCCCAAGACATTCTCCTATCCGACACCGAAGAGCTCTCATCGGAAGATGAAGAATAAACCAACAAATAATGTCAAACCACTCAAACCTAACTATGAATTATTATAGCATTGTAATCACTAACATAAATGTAAATATTAAATTGTAATCGTAATTCAGTAATTGTAATGTAATGTATCCGGTATCGTACTTGTAATAGCACCTAATGTGCTAAAACATTTTAAAAATAATAAACGAAAAAAAAAACATTATATTAGATTAGAATTATATTTGTGGTATAGGTTTTGTACTCGGTAGTCACAAGGTTATCCTATAGAATAGCTACAATAACAGCGATAATATACTATGGTCTATGGTATGTTGTCGACATAAGTTCAAAGATACTATTTTTATAAGGGTATCTACTAAAGGTACTAATTGAGATTACATATACAACACATATTAAAAAAAATTAAAATAGGTAAACAAAAATTAGTTTAAAATGTTTAAATACACAAAATGAACATAATATTTGTAAAAATGAGCTTAAAAATGCAATAAAATGCATTTAATACAAAAATGGGAGTAATGCAAAATCAAAATTAGACATTCTAAATTGTTATATCACGAAACAAATTTAGTTTTTGGTTAGAACTGTAGAGCACTTTAAAAAAAAAGTCACCATAATACTAGCTCTAATTATAACCAATTACCTGTTACAACGACTATTAGATTCTCCGATGAAAAGGGGATACAACCAGGGCATCTACATTTTTATAATTTTTGTTTTTTTATTTGTTTTATTCAATTATTTAAAATGTACTAAACTGAACAAATATGCCCGTGGCATTAGTGCATTACCAATACAAACTGGAATAAACTTATTTTTATAAACGCAAAGTTATACTTAAAACATATTTTTAACTCAAAATAATTTTGAGAGTGCTAATTAAAGACTTGCGGTTGCTAAGTAGCCCTTGCCCCTTGGCACCCCGCATGTGTGCCAATGTAGACGCGTAGTGATGTAAAAAACTACAACTTAAAATATTAGTTCATTTTAAAAAACGTAATTGGGTTTCAAACATTTTTTTTTAGAAATATTGCTGTTTGTGGCTTATAGAGCATATTAATTGGAGCCCACGAGGTGAATAAATCCAACAGCAAGAAAAAAGGAAACTTTAAAATAAATACTTACAACTACTATCAATGTATAGTTACATTTTAAAACGTTCAATCATTATTCAAAAATAAAATTAAGTAGGTACCTAGGTATATGGCTATATATATGATAATTTATAATAATATAGGTATTAGGTAATACGCTAAGCTATACCTACGTACATTATGCATGAAGTATATTGTGTAATTGTTCTTTTTACTTATACTTTTAACTTTTAAGTATATCTGTATGAGTATAGGAACGTTTAAAAATATTGATTTTAAATTTATAGATTTAGGTATTTCATATAATTTAAACAGTCTATATCTATCTGACTATCTATATATACATATCTACTATCAATAGGACATATTATATATAACAGGTAATATTAATTTTTTTATATACTTATTAATAATTTTTTTCGCAGATTCTATAATTTTTTCTAGTATATTTTATTCCGCAATTTTATTTATGTCAGCTAGGATTATACATTTATACCTAATATTACCTAATAGGTACCTAGGTATTATTAATACAGAAGAAACCTATATTGGAAATAGATTATTATATAGGTGGGTAAGTCACAATAGTCACATAGAGTAACAATTACTCTAAGGTATATTGGTATGTCAATACTCGATTATCGAAGTGAAATTGTTAGAGGAAAAAAATTATTTTGGTTTGGATATTTTGCTTAACTACCAATCCAACCCAACCATTTTTTTTTTTCATAATGGATTATAATTTATAAGGCCAGATGATCTCCGGGAAACTTTCGAAATATTTTGCTTCAGGATATCTAACCTAAGCAGGCTGTACAGTAATTTTTTTGAAGATAAAGTATTATCTGTAGCTGTGATTATAGCATAGTGTATTCATTTATTCTGTGATTATAATAATTATTATCACAAAAGTCAGAACTATTCTGTATTACCTATTGGCTACTATAATCTAAAAAATTCCAAGTTTTAATAAAAATGTATAGTATTAAATATGTATGATTGAGTGATGTACAATTAATTGTTTTCAATTCAAATCTAGCATTACTGTTTTAATAAACCCTATCTATTTTATAAAATAAACAATTTGATAATTATGTTAGCTGAAGCGGAAAATAATGACAATAATAAAAATCCACCATCTTCGGCAATTGAAGAAATCAAGTTTACCGAGCGAATGAGAAAGGCTACAAGGAAAGAACATCGAATTAGCGATGCCTTAATTAATGCAAAAATGACCATTGGTAATACATTTAGGTTTAAATTATCATAATATTCTTACTTAAAATATATATTGGTGCAGTTACATTGTGTTTAATATTGATTTCTTCTCATCATTCCAATATTGTACTTAAATTAAATCTCAATATCCCAACTCAGACCTAAATGGATTTTAAAAACACATTGTTTTGTTTTCATTTTATTGCCCTCATGTGTACCCCATCAACATTACTTTAAATGGTTATTAAGTGCTAAGATGATTAACTGGGAGTGATTAACGTATTTCTTTACTTTTCTCCCGTGACTATGGACTATGGTAAATGTTTGTTTGCTATATATGAGTGAGATAATATTAAAAACTATTGGTTTTAAAGATTCAATTCTAAACTTAATGAAATTTTCTTATACACCAATAACAATTTGTATTAATGAGTGTTATTGGACCCTAGTTCTTACTTATAATGTCCTTAACCATCACTAACCTATCATTGATGATTTCAAGATTCTATTTACTTAAAATATTATCTAGAAATAAAGATAAATTCTCCTTTAGAAATAATTACAAAATATAAGGATTATACATTTCAGGTATGACTGATAGCAAAGTATGGGTAGAAGGATTACGGCGATTTTATGTTGTATACCAGTATCTAGAGATTGCAATGAAAAAAGAAGAAAATTATAATTTACACAAATTTGGCCAAATTAATGGATTGTTTCGTACGCAACCATTTGAAAGCAGCTTACGACATTATTTGGGAGAAAAATGGCCTTCCGGAACAACTAAAGCCATGGCTGAGTACTCCAACTACTTATTATGTTTAGAAAATGAAAATCACGTTCTGTTGTCGCCATTTATATATCATATGTATATGGGCATTTTATCTGGTGGTCAAATACTAATGGCTAAACAAAGGATGGCTTTCTCGGATGGAAAAGGATCTGAAGCATTTTACTTTGATATTAATGTAAAAGATGCAAAAAATCAATTACGGAATGAAATGAACGCTTTGGCAGAAAAACTAGATGACGAAACCAAACTTAGATTATTAAAAGAAAGTAAAATGGTGTATTTATTGAATAATAAATTAGTAAAAGAAGTCAAAGTTCCTACAGAAATTTTGTTAATCAAGTTTATATTTGTTATTGGAATTTTTATTTTAGTGATCTTATTATGGAAGGTGTCAAAAAAGTTTCTCATGGTTTTATTCTAGTCACTAATAATTAACTGGTATTTAATTAGCGGCTACTCAAAGCTAAATTTTAAATTTAGCTTGACAAATCAATTTTAATTATATTAAATAATCCAGTTATAGATACTTTTATATAATTGATTATTATTTTATTTTGTTATGGTTTATTGTACTTGGATAATAAAAAACAATTAATAATTTTTTGATGATGTATGCAATATTATGGAAATACCTAAAATATATTCAACTGTATTTTATTATACGTGTTCAGTTTATTGTATTATGTATTCTATTTATTTTATTATTCGTGTTAAAATTAGACGTTTCTTCGATTCCTTACATGAAATCAATTAAATATATTTTCATAATTTAATTATAACTATAGGTATCAACAAACAATAAACATAGAATAATCTTAACACATTTTTCCGTTTTAATTATTGTTAGTATACACCAATATTCCCAATTGTTATTTTACTTTTTACTCTCTGGGTATAACAGCTGTGCAACTTCCTGTGCAAGTAATTTAAGTTCGCAATCAAATTATATTAAAAATTTATATATTGTTTATTTGTACTATTTCACTATGTATAGATTGTAAATATTTCAAAAAAAGCTAAATAAAAAATTAATCTTTCTCTAAAAACAATGTTTACTATTTTGTCATGTCCTAACTCATTGAAATATGCATTGAGTTAGGAAATAAAGACGTGATGTATATAGATTTAATGTGTATTTATTGAACATATTTTTAATTAAAAAATACAATAGTAAGCTGTAATAGACTGTGAATTGTGTTACGAACTGAATGAATACTGATAGCAGACTATACCCTGTGTTATTACCTGACTCTTAAGTGCCAGATATTCCTAACCGTTTGACAAAATTGTGAGACAGTTTCCCTTATATATGATCTTATCATTAAAATCATGGGTCATGGTGGTGGTGACTTAGATGTACAAGGTGGATTTTGTGTCTCGTAACATAATTTGGTATTCTAGTTAATTGGTATTTTTTCTTTAGGACATCTGAGACTTTTCCGAGATCTGTGTGAATATTATTTTATAGTTTGATTAAATTAATGCTGAGTTCACAATTTGCATTGACTTCAGCACGCTAATGATATTTTAATTGTGTCACCATACTCCATTCAAAATGTGTGCTTTAGAGTATTCAATAAATATGTTTTATAGGGTACGTAATAATTTCTTTGATTTGATCCAACATTTTGTTAGTTGATATTTTCATTGTTTATATCCTAATACTACTTAATATGAGTTATGAAGCAGGACTGGACTTCACATGACATAGTTCAGCAAAACCAATCTTAACAGCAGATCAGAATTCAATTCCCTAATTTGTTTGTTAAATTATCAATTAACAATTTCATTTTACATATTTAACTGTATATTGTATGAATTACTTATATAAAACAAACTTGGTGGTTCTTAATAGTTAGTGTCAGTAATTATATAAAATAAATAAACATTTAGTAAAATATGGCCTAATAATTAATTAATGAAAAAATATTAAATACTTATACTATTATATAATATAAAATGATACAGATTTAACTTATTAACTCTGTAGAGTTAAATTTAATTGGCTGAATAGAAGAAGGTAACTGGCAGTAGTTATTAATATCTGAAAAAATCAATTTATACATCAAAATATTATGTGATAATAAATAATATACATGCATACATCATAAATATAATACATAACACTATATTATACAATATGTTAATTAATTTGAAAGTCAGTAACTTTAATTCAAAATATACTGTAGATATTATATGACTAATAGCTTCCCTTTTACCAGAGTAATAAAAACTTATAACAATTTGAAACTAGCCAATAAACATACCTAACTACTAGGTAATAGTGTACCTAATTAGCATTCTTGAATTTAAATATTATTTTGGTGTCTTTTATTAGGAACACTGCTTTATTATTTCTAAATTTAAACATACTACAACTTCGTTAATTTTGAAATGAAAAAAATATTTTATGTAAAAATTGTTCAAAAAAAAAGTTGGCTTTGACCTTTAAACAAAATTAACTTGTATTTTGCAGTCCCATATTGAAAAAGTTAATACTTTGACATTTTCTCAAAATATATTCTTCAGTACTCTCCTTAACCTCCCCAAAACTCCATTTCAATTTGATCATTTAGCTGAAATATTTAGTAACCCCTTATATTGTGAACATACTATACGCCATAATCTAAGTGCATTTAAGTTTAATTAATTCAACTTACAGATAACAGGGTTTCTAAATTTATTGGAAACATATCTAAAACATCCAAATCAAACTTCAATTTTTGTGCTTGGTGATTAAATAAAAGTCTCTAAAGTAAAAATTAAATAAATTATCAGTAAATCTAAATATTCTATAATCTGAAAAAATTCACTTGCCTGTTGCTTATAATTTTCTCCTGGCAATAAATTTGTATCCATTTCATTAACCATACTTTTAATAATATTTTCCTGAAAACCATTTAGTCTTATGTATTTATACAATTTAATCAAAACAACCATTTAGGACTAACATTTTGTTTGATCAGTTCACAGCAATAACACAGCAAAGCAACTCTTTGAAATGTTGCCATACTTTCTACAAGATCAATTACTGAAAAACTTGTTATATATGAATATAAGTTTATGGCCAGCAAAATTCTTGATTGAATAATTAAGGTTAATGTATTAAGCCCATATATTCTATTAACATTTACCATTATGTCAAATATTTCCATATGTAACAATCTAGTATCTTCTAAACAATTCGCAAAGTAATCTGGCAAAATAAGTTTTGTATCAATTTTGTTTTCCTGTGTGTAAACAAATAAAAATAATATTCTAAATTCTTATCTTGTATATTCAGTGTTATAACATTTGAGTTATGATTAAATAGTTTGTCAATAACTTAATAGGATAATGTTTAAACATGATCTAAAGAAAAAAATAGACTTCAAATTACACAGATTTCAGTATTAATTCTGTAAAATATGATCTCAGTCAGAGGTATGTATAATTAAACTGTTGAAATATAAACAATATTTACTAATAGCTATCATAACTTGTATTTCAAATACCAAAGGAATTGGGTTCAGTTTTCTTTTAGATTTATAGGAAATTGCGGGTTCCTTAATTCTTTTCAATAACTAAGTTGAAAAACAACATTCATAAAACTGATTTTAATTAATTTGGTAACTTTTCAGCATATTTCTATTGTATCTTAAAATTGTTATAAATCTTACTCAATTAACAATTTAATTCAACGATAAACAAACAAATTATGTGCAACTAACAAATAAATTATCTTTGATTATTATCGTTCTACCTTAATCATATGAAAAAAGTTGGATATCCTATGAATGACCATTTCAAGTGATGATTTCACCAGCAATAAGATCACGTAAAATTGCATTTCAAACATGAAACAGACGAAATCTTGAGCATGAAGCACTAGATTGATGGCAGGCTCTTGGGTCGTCATTGAGTTGACAAAAAATACAACCAACCAAAACAGATGCATACCACTTATGATAAATACAGACGACATTTTTAGACATGTATTTTTGTTGTAGGACAAGACGTCCAAACACTTTACATAACATAAACGTATGTTATGTCTATTGTAAGCACAAGACAAAAAATACAACATCAAACTGAGAGTTGTCAAAATGGCTTTAATCGTTGTCAATAAGTCTTCAATAAAATTGCTCTGAAAATAAACTGATTTATACACATATAAACGTAAATGAACGTTGAGACAAAAAAAAAAAAATAATATAATAACTTACTTGTTTCAAACTCCAAAAAAGTAAAATACAACTAGAGGACAGTGAAAGAAGGCCTAATATAAAAAAATACCTGAACTCTATAAGAAAATTTAAATGCAATGATCGAGCATGTAGATCACTCAGAATCAACCATAATAACCGGATCATTATAAAATTTAAAATAATACAACAGCATTGAATAACTAAGGTGCAATTTTGAATTCACTTAAATTCTACCAATAAAGGAATAGAAAAATAAGTATACTTTAGATATAGAATCCATTTTTCTTTAAACAATGAGGAATACATACAATAATATTCCTGTCAATAATGTTATATAATAGAATAATAAATGTATATTAAAAGGATGAATAAAAAACTATTCACTTCTATGAAAAACTCCATTCTTCAGAGTTCAAACCTAAATTATTTCTAAAAAAAAATATTTAACAGTAGTATTGTGATCATAAATAATAAATTACTATTTTTACAATGACTGGAAAATAGGGTCACTCCAATAACCAACAATATTCCAAATACAAAACAATTACCTAAAAGTATATAAAAATATACAAATATGTAAGCATAAATATATTTTTTTTAAGAATAAAGTTAAGGATAAACTAGTTTGTTACGAAACACAAATAGACCATCCTTTAATAATATATACAGTGATATGGTAAAACAAATATAATCACATATAATACTTTTACAGTGACAGAACAAAACTTCAGATATTCTTTTAAAGAAATGTATGAACTAGCTTTCATGTGTGAATTTCTAATTATTCCTGATCAGTTCTTTTAAAGTATACAATTATCAAAATGTCAGTAAGCACTAATTTTGTGCACTGTGGAAAATGAGAAATCCTATTATATAACATCTCACTTTAAAATGTATTTTATTAATATGAAATTTTAAATGGTTTATTAAGAACCAGTTCAATAAAGGTATGCTCTATTTTATTATTTTAATAGTTAACATTTTTTTTTCATTATATAAATAATATAATTTAATAGGTTTCTGTAGTAACCAAATGTATTGAAATTATAATATATTCAGCATATTTTAATGTTTCTTATTACATTATTATAAGATTAAACATAATATACAGTTATACAGTTACACTTATACTATATATACTTCAGCTCAATTGATTTATGAATTTGAAATAAATTTTGATTTTACATGATTAAAAATGATACCTAAATATATTATGAAAAATTCATTAAGAGTTGATATATTAAGAAATTAAAAAAGATCAAACTAACCCTTTATTCTCTTAAATCAACACATAATAAATATTATGTTTCACTATTTTATTTTTAAACAAAATAACTTAGCTGCATTCAAAGATATTTTAAATTATAGATTTTGAATACAAACTATGTTTTTCTAATTTCAAGTGTAGAATCATATACATCATATACCATCAAATGTATAACATAAATAAATACACAATGCCAAGGTGAGACATGTAAATTAGGTGTAAAACAAACAGGTTGAGGAAAACAAATTCAAAACATAAAAATAACAAATCAATTAAAATTTCATAAATCTGTTCTTGTCATTTATTCTCACACACCACTAAGAATACAAACTATGAAAAAAAAAAGACAATTTTACAAACTAATTCAATTTAATTCTCAATTCTTGAAATCGGAAAAAGAAGATATTGACTCATAGACATAGTAAAATCAAAAATATAAAAATAGACCAAGAATAAAGTGTCTTATTATCTCCAAAAGTTATTTTAAAACAATACTGAAGTCTAAAACAAAACACACACAGTCATTAGCCTATTGGAAAAATATTTTAAGCCTATAATTTCAGTAACTGACAAAAAAAGACAATAATTATGTTACAATAAATATTGAATTAAATTGGTCTACATACATTAAGTATTACACTAGAATGTTTATTAAAATTATGTATTATTTTTGAGTTATAATAATTGTTACTTACAATTGTAGTTAGAAATATACTACTTCAATAAGATGACCATCAAATCTTGACATATTTTTTAAAGCTAGAAATTCTGTAGTTAAGGAAAAATGTATTATCCAATATTCTTAAAATAAACAGGCATATTGAACTATGAAAATTAAAGAGTCATCAATTATATTTATACTTATAACTTATTGGTATGAGCACCTTTTTTCACATTCTACAAACATATTTTTGCTTATTTCTTCTCATTTCACAAATCAAAAATGTATGTCACATACTGAATAATAAAAATCGATATGAAGAGTTTTGTCTCTAAATTATTGATACTCTAAAATGTTTAAAAAAAAAACTAGAGCCGTCTCAAGTTTGAAAAATCTAACTGAACTTAACGTGTTCAGTTTTAGTTTGAAAATCAACACTAGTTCTAAAAATCTTGAACAGAATTGAACTAAAAAAAAAGTTGTTTTATAATAAATCTAAATTCCAAAAAAAAAAAAATGAATTGGTTAAACGATGCTGACAAAAAATGTTTTTGCTATTAAATTTTTTACTAACAAATAATATAGACCTATTTTCAATTTGTTTATTTATTATTTTTAAAGGGCCGAGTCGAGTTTTCTAGTTTCATGTTTGTAAAAATAAAGCCCTATTATTGCCTGGACAGGGATTATTTAAAAATTTATACTTCATAGACTAACATAAATTGATTTTGATTTAGTATTGTTGAGAAAAAGGACATGGAAAGAGTTTAGTTCGACATTTGATAAAGTTTGGTTCTCTCCTCTAAAATCAAATATTATCTGTCATAACAAAAAACATTACGGAACTTTAAAGATCTGTAGTCTTAAAAAAATAATTTCAAATAAAAGGATACTTATTGCCCTTTCAGCATCCCATTCAGATGCAAATCTTATAATTCCAAATCCCTTACTTCCAACCTCAGAAAATTTAATGTCTCCACAGTCACGGAAGTAATCCTTTAAGCTTTGCCATGTTGTGTTTGATGGTAAATTTTTTACCATGATTGTGTCGGATTTTTTTGGACCCATACCCATATGCATATCACCTCCACCTAAGAGTAAGTAATTTTAAGATTAATAAATGGTGGACTGTAGACGATCAATTTTTCTTAAGAAAACTGATTCGATAAAAGACTTATATTAAGTTCAAAATAAAAATAATCACCCAATCCAGATCTAAAGTCTGCGGCAAAAGCGCCACCACCACTGCTTGAATTTCGTACACCAAGTGATAAAGAATCATAGTCACGACCACCTAGTGAGTCTGAAATATATTAACTAGATTAAACATATTTATATATTAAATCGGCAAAATTATGTTAGGTTTAAATAAAGTAGGGAATATATTAACCATAAACACTAAAAATGAAAAGCATACTAAGCTTAACAATTTTGATGGCCACTTCTGCTACATAATATTATGTTTGAGGAAAATAGCCCTCAGATTATATCTGAGCCGAGTAGCCTTGAACTCATAAATTTTACATTTACCAATACAAATAAAATAAAATAGTAAAAATATTTTCAACGGTAACATTTGTATAAAATGACTATTCATTTCATAATATTAATAAAAAAATATATATAATTAAATAAATTACTTTGATGTAGTGAAGAACTATTCATTGATCCAGCTCCACTAGTATTCATACCAGATCCAAAAGCAGCCCCTAGGCTTGTTCCAATGCCTAAATCACTAGCGCTCAAGTTTCCCAGTCCATTAACTCCACCAACTTAATAAAACCAAAGTACATTTAAGATCTATAAATAAAAAATGTTTTGAATTACTTACGAGAACGTCTATTCTGGGTCTCAATGCCTAATCTATCAGCACTTAATCCGCTTAGAACAGCCAAAGCAGATGTATTAACAGGTGTAGATAATGACTGAGCTTGATTAGATGAAGTATTATTTGATGGAAGATTTCCTATAAAAATAAAAACATAATTAAGTTAATTGTAAAAATAAGTTTAAAGTTTGTCAAAATACCCTGATATCATAAAAGGTAATAGATAGTTAATGTTATCCAACCACCCTTTTTTTGAACATATTTCATTTGTTTAGTAATAAATATTTTTAAGTTGCAACTCATTAGCTAAATAGTTATTATAAGGGCAACATTAGTTAAAGTAAAATTTCAAATATATTTTTCCATTTAGGTATAAATTCAAGATTGGACAAAAAACTTACTAAAATGTAGTCAACCGAGTCTTAATGCTATGGAACTTTCTATACCAAATATAAAATAAGTAGAACTTTTACTATCAAAATTATTTTATTAATTTTAATTTAATTATACCATTTATATCTAAAGAGTAACAAAGTATAAGGGACAAGGGACATAAATGATAATATAAAAATTGTATAAATTATCTCAATCTACTGCATATTTATAACAACTAAATATTTGTTCCAAAAAAAAAATTAAAAATTGTTCACTTGCATTTGGGTAAAAGTTTAATGTTCACATTTTATCATATTTATTTAGTTTACAATAGTTTTTATTTATAACAACACACTACCAACAATTTAATTTTAACTAAAAAAAGTTTCTGATAATTTAAATCTTATCATAACATACTTTCAACATCGTGTAATGGTGCTCCGCCTGCACCTAAACCCATTCCTATTGATTTCAACCCTTCAGGAAGTCTTGCTAATGGGTCTTTATCTGTACGATCAAGACGAATAGACATAGGACGTTCAAATAAAAATTGATTGTTGAACATAGCTATTAGTAATTGTTAAGAAATATTCAAACAAATACTCAATAAATTTAGAAAGTTTAAACATTAACATTGTCAAAGGATACAAATAGCTTGAACAGCTTCTACTGGATGATTATATTCAACTACTCCATATCCTTTACTTTTTCCTTCTTTATCTGAAAATATTTCAACTTCTAATACTCGTCCAGCCAGTTTGAATACCTCTTTTAATTTTTTTTCATCAACTTTGTAGTCAAGCTAAAAATAAAAACATCAAATTAAATATCTAAAATATTAAGAAAAATGTATTCTGTTACATTGGCAACAAAAATGCGATTGATGAGTGGCCCACGAATATGTAGTGATTCAAGAAATTGAGGTGAGAGTCCATATGTATTGTCCCATTGGAAATCATCTGTTACTGGCATTCTACTAGCACTCCTGATGCTGGTTGGGATATTCCCAACCCCACCACCGCCACCTCCACCACCACCGCCGCCACTACCACCACCTCCACCACCACTACTACGTGGTCCATTTGGTAATGGGCGTCCAGTCTTATCTCTATCAATATCGTCCTACAACAAATTAAAAAGTAAAATTACACAAATATTTTAATATAATTTGATCAAATATATACCTCCTTAACTACTAATTTTCTTCCATTTATATCAAAACGGTGCATCTTATCAATTGCCTTTTGAGCAGAATCGACTCGATCAAATTCAACTGTACCACAGCCTCTAGATTTGTCTTTTTCATCTGAATATACGACTACAAATGACACATCGCCAACTAAAACAAAACAAAAAAAATTTATAGTTTTTATACAGCAATTTAAATTTGAATGAGCTTACTGTGCTAGTGGCATAATTAAAAGATTACTTCCAATACCAAGCTCTTACAGGTTTTGAATTAGAACTCCATATATTTTACATTTATAATATACTTGTTTAAACTAAAAAAAAGTCTGCTTAAGGATGGAATCAATCATTTTTTTGGGGTCCCAAATAATATAACCAAATTAGACCTTTATTCAGAATTTAAGGGTAATTTTTCTTATTTTAATGGATCCTAACAAACACTGGGTCTTTGCGTGAGTGGGCTTCTCATAATTTTTTTAAAATCAAGTTTATAAAATCAGAACGGAAAATTATTTTATCCAATAATTCTAAGAATCATAGGTCATGAATGCTTCAGCAGTGGTAAATTTTAATAACTATATCTGAAACGTTGACAATTTATAGACATTTATTTATATTTAATATATTGACATATCGTCTACGGTTGTAAATATCACATATGAATATTTTGCTTAAAATAAAGCTACATTGGAGTGTACTTTAAATGTGAATTTTAAAGATAGATATTTAACTAATTTGTAGTTAATTGTTATATAATTTAATATAAAATAATTGGGTAAGGTCATCTAAGTATAAGATAAAAATAAAATATATAATATAATATACAGTGATTTATCAATTATGCTAATTCCTCTGTGAAAATGCAAGCTTTTGTTTTTTCAACAGTAAATTATTTAGTGGATAATTTTTCTACAAAATTTTACGTATCAGGTTCAAAATTTGAAAGAGTAATTTTTAAGTTATTTAACATTAACAATAAAAGGTCCACGGTAATGGGTTTATAAGATGATATGGGAGTTACATTGATTTGAAAATGTAAGTTTTTAATATATTATTAATTTATCAATATTGGTAATTTTTAAAAACGGCCTAAGTATAATAAATACCTTCTAGTTCCAATATTATGTCGATTTCATATTTTCATAACACTATTTTTAAGGACTATTATCCTAGTACAAACATTTTAATAACTAAGAAACTAATCATACGAAATTTGAATTAGGTACATCAAAATTTTCAAAAAACTTTTACACTAAATAATTTACAATAAAAAAGGCAATTGTTCTCATTTGAAAAGCAAAAGTTTACCTATATCGTCACAAGGCACTTCTCAAGTAGTACAAAAAACTCCAAAATTAAAATAAAATTATTTGGGTATCTATAGTCTCTCACGAGAGAAGCAACCATGTCTTGAAAAATCTGGTTATTCTTACGCAATGCCCACACCCCACATCGACCTTGTCCTAACCACTTTCCGGTATAAGTGAACTAGTCACTAGCGAACGGCAGATAAGTGAGTAAGCACATGCTTGTTTATATATGTATATTGCACTTAGAGAGGATTCGATAGTTCGGCAGCGGTGTGGAGCTGTCTGCATGCCCTAAAAGGTACCTTTCTTTTGTAAGACTATATATTTAAATTAATTCCAAAAATCAGAAGTTGAATA